TATCAGGTTTATCATTGCTATAGTTTGGACCTTGACAGTTCCCTGAAGGCCCAAGTGTTAAAGGTTTGGTCCCAGGGTGGTGCTATTMGGAGGTGGTGGAACATTTAGAATATGRGGCCTAAYGGGAGGTCCTCAGGTCATGGGGGTGTGCCCTTGAAGGGGATTTCAGGACCCTGTCTCTTCTCTGTCTCTTGTTTCCTGKCTCATGAGGTGAGTGGTTCGCCCCACCATGAGCTCCTGCCAGGACATGCTGCCCTTGCTGGAAGCCCAAAGATATGAAGCCACTCAATCTTGAACTCCAGAACCATGAGTCAAAATAACCCTTTTCTCTCTAGATGTTAATTACCTCAGGTATTCTCCAGCGACAGAAAGCTAACTCATATAGCTATTGCCACAATAATGTTATATAATAACTCACTCCAAAATTCAGTGCCTTAAAACACCAGTCCCTTATACTCGMGCATGTCTAAAGGATCCATGGGCTCSCCAGAGCTAGTGGGCATGGCTCTGAGCCCTGGATCTGCTCAGGGGGGCTCCCCATGCCTCTTATCCTCCTCACATCAATGGGTTAGCCATGCGATCATCTCACTGAACAGAACTGACTTTTCACTGTGAAAGTGTCATATCTCTTTCCCGTTGTCCCCTCTGACCCCTGCTTTTAGAACCACATTATGGAATKTTTGCAATGGATGCAGGCAGCTCCTCACAGCTTCACTATATGACCTTTTTCTACCACAGGGGCATGGCTTAAAAGGGCGACAGGCATAGGTGGCCATTAGTGGGAGCACCTGAGGACTTATCACCACTGTGTCCTTTCCAGCATCAAACCTGGAGCACCTGCCCCCCACCCCCCTACTCCATCCTCCCCAGTGAACTCAACCCCTAATTCTCACCAGCTCCTCCTCCTCTTCCCCCTCCACGTCTCTATGAGAATGCTTAATGGAGAATGAAAAATATCCTCCACGAGACCCTCTTCCACCCATGAATGCCAGAAAAACTGCAGTGAAACCAGATACATTCTAGGAGAAATTGGGACATGGAATAGAGAACCCCAGAATTGTCAAGCAAAAAGGGACATCCCCAACTAGACAATCAGGCTGTCCCCCACTTGGGCATGCTCAGTCTAGCTCAAATCATCTCAGAGCCATGAGCTCATCTGACTTGGTCTAAGGAGTGTGCGCATTTCCTAGYCACCCCCCTTCCCCCAGGGCAACCAATGCCAAGGTTTGATCAACACAGCTTAAAGCAAGTTTCTCCTGCCCCTCATTTGGACTTGCACTTCAACTCCTTCCCTGGAACCATTCCCTCAACTTGCAAATGCAACAGGAGGCCCCTTGGCAGTCTTCACCCCGCAAGAACCCCTTATGTGCCTAAAAGCATCCATCAAACCTTCCACGATGCGTCCCTTTCCCAAACCCGTAGTTTATAGCAGCCCTCAGACCTTACGACAGGCCCTGGTGGGGACAGCCTTGCACGAAGCAAGTGGCTCTTGCTACAGAAAAATGAATCATAAGCACAAGTCGACACCAGCATCCTGCAGTTCAGACAATTACCCAAGGAACACATTTTCTGATAATTATAGAGCTAAAAATGGATCCACTTTGAAAATCCCTTCCTTTCTCCAGAGAAAGCTGAGGAGGTGGTTTAACAACAATCAGCTGCTGAGMTGCATCACATTCTGGGGTGTTTGGGAGACTGGTTCCAAGAAATTTCTTGGAAGGTACAGTTCCCAGAAGGTGGTGATGATAACTAGACCCATGAAACCTCCCCACCGTCCCCAACTCATRCTCTTAGCTTGGGATTCTCAACTCAGGAGAGACAGGAGGAGACATTTAAAACAAGACAGACAGGAGCAGGAGGCCCAGGCCATCCTACCCTTGTGATGCTGCTGGAATATCACATGACACTCATCTAAGGAAATGAGTGGCGCTGCGGGGAACACCACCAGCCACAGATGATCTCAACCCCCTTCRGCAACAAATGTGGGCACAGGAATATTATAAAGGATTTAAGGCAAGAATGAAGGATCAGGACATTAACATTAATATTTAGCATGTATTGAGCACCTATGTGCTGTGCATATATTTTATCTCATTTAGTTTTCACAACAACTCCTTAAGGGGGTACTGGGATTGCTATCCCCATGGAGAGTCACACTGAGGCACACGCCAGATAATAAGGGCACAGACAGGATGTGTAAGCAGCCAAAGTTTGCTGGCTTTACCCCCACCCTTTGGGTCTGAAGGCTGAGAGAAGATATTAGGAAGATTAAACACCGACTAAAGAAAGGGTTCAGGGCATACACATCAAGGAAAGGAAAGGGCCAGGAGGATCTGTAGGTTGGAGCTCTTCCCTGTCAAAACTGAACACAATCTTGAGTTAAATTTGATTTTAAAATTCAGACTGTATGTAGCTAGTAAACATAGTAAAATATGTAAATTTTACTATGTCATGGACACCCCGGAAATGAAGAATGAAAAGATTACTGACTATCCCAGTGTTCCCAAGAAGAAGGATTTATTTAGACTGCACAAGTGCTTGAGGCAGCACTGATTTGATTCACTTAATAAATATTTATTGGGCATCTTCAACAGGCTACATACTGTTCTACATTCTATGTCACTAGATGTGACAGTGAGCTAAACAAAATCACTGACCTTCCAGAATTGGCATTCTGGTGGAAGGAGACAGAGGACAGGCCCCGTACCTAAATGCATTTGTGAGAACACAGTACAAGAAGTTACCAAATTAAGCAAAAGARTATGTGAGATATAGCAAGATGCCAATGGCCAGACGATCAGTAGCACCAACAAGTTGAAATTACATTTAGAGGGGCTGGGGATGTGGCTCAAGCAGTAGCGCGCTCACCTGGCATGCGTGCGGCCAGGGTTCGATCCTCAGCACCACATACAAACAAAGATGTTGTGTTGTGTCCACCGAAAACTAAACAATAAATATTAAAATTCTCTCTCTCTCTCTCTCTCTCTCTCTCTCTCTCTCTCTATCTCTATCTCTATCTCTATCTCTATCTATCTTTAAAAAAAAGAAAGAAATTACATTTAGAAAGGAAAATGGTCAGTGAAAATGGTCTCAGGTATCCAGGGCACAGAGACACAGAGGTGAAGAACTAACAATCAAACTGTAAGAAAGTAGACATGCTTCTGACAAGAAGATAAGTAGGAGAAAGATTCATTGAAGGAATAAAGCTGTAGGCATGTGGCTTATTTCTGCTTCAAGTTAGAAAACCATGAAGCACTAGAAGGTGAACTCCTGAAGTCAGGGCTTCATGCCCTCTGATGTCTACCCTGAACTACTCTCCCTGGTATTCTCCACTATGATGAGCAGAGATTGTGTTAAATCTCATAGAACCAGTGGTAGTAGCATAGGAGAGGAAGGGAAAAAAAAAAAAAAAGGGAAAAGGTTCATGGAGTACCATGTTTCCTGGAGTAAAATGCCTAGAAACTTATGCAAACTGTATGCAAACGAGCAAAAGGCAATGCTAATTCTTGCATAATTTGCTTGCTTTTGTATTCTTGGCACTGACCTTAGAGAAGTCCAGGACTCTAAAGCTGTGGACAACAGAACCTTGGCAGAGACAGCCACAGGCCACTGTCTGCTGTCTGGCCAGAGCCCAAGACCAGCAATATAGAAGTATGAACAAGGCTACTTAGCATGGATACAGATCATCACTCTGCCAGAAAATACAGGGAAGAAAAAAAAGGAAGCATGGGAGTCTGCGAGGCAAACCTTTGATTTTATCTTGATCCAGTCCATGCCACTTACATGTCAGTCTTCAAGAGCAAACTAGAGACGATGGAAGTGATGGCTGGAACAGGTTATAAGTTGACTACAACATTATCTAGGAAAGTGATTTACATATTCATGATTCAAATTATATGTTATTTTCTTAATCATTCTTTTTTCCTTGGATCACTAGTATTTTCAAATGCATGTCTTATCTGAGCACACTTTCCCACTGTGACATACAAGATGTGGAATTCTAACATGCTGAGGCTTCCTAGAAAACATTAAAGGACAAGTAATTAGCTAGAAAAAATAATTGGCTTCTTGATTATGTTCTCTCTCCCAATGAAAGGTATCATTACTGAAATCAAAAAAAAAAAAAACCTTCAATACCTTGCAAAAAAAAATTTCCCTTCTGTCAGTGTTGGCCTAGCACTTGGTTTTTTTCTTCTATTCACATAAGTCTCAAAAAACCCCATTGGGGTAGACAGGTGGTTTTCCTAGGGCCTGTAGTTGTCCACTCAGTACAGAGGTCAGGGAGGTCCTTTGGCTCAAGGACATGGACACTGCTTATTTCACCTGCAAGTTCCTGTTCTCTAAATTTTGCTGACACACTTCCCTAACTAGAGAATGACAGGGTCTGCAGATGGAGTGTGCCAAACACCCAGCTTGAGCTGTGCATACACACGCACGCTTGCAGAATGAGTTTAGGGCAGCTGAGGTCTACTGCCCATCCATTCAGAGCAACTCTTTGAATGGCGTGGTTCCCCCTTTAATAATACCTCCCCATCCCACCCCTCCAACACTCCCAATGATCCTGTCAATCAAATTGCAAAGCTGAATGACAAGCTGAAACCTCAAAAGCAACCCAACATCCAGTTAAAGACATCCCTAAGTCAGGAGGGAGTGTTCGTGAGCCCAGCACCAGACTGGAACAAAGGCTAGGAGGCAACAGCTGCTGTAAATGCCATCCATCATCATGCAAAAATAAAGACCCTCTAAATCCAACCAGAGGGCACTTGCAAATATCCAGTGTCTTCCTGACACTTTGATTGATGGCCACCCCTTTTAATTAGCTCCTCTTGGTTCTGGTGGTTTTCAAGAACTGATGGCTAGCTCCCACCTCCTCCTCCCAGGCTGCCATTGGCCTTCCCGGGTAGACAGCACAGGGGCAGACACTGAGCCTCACCAGCCTCTTTCACTGGGGATCCCACCCACCACTCTGTAATCCTCCATCCTCCCACGTGGAGTACCACACTGACCTTTCGCAGAAGGAAGCAGATGCGCTCGATGTTCCTCAGCCGTTCCCTCTATCAGGATGCACAGGAGAGAAAGGAGATAGGAGGTTAGAGGTCCTGCTGAAAATCCTTGAGAAGCCCACACAATCCAACCCAGTAGAGGAAGCAGAACCCACCAGAGATCCTTCCTGGGCACACGGCCCACGGGTTCCCACCCAGTGGCTTTTTCTAACAGAATTTCCATCTTTCTTCCATCTACCTTGTCATAGTCATTTGCTCTAACAGCAAACGTCATGGGCTCAGCATCCCTCCCAGCCCAGCATACTTTTTCTTGCATGTACTCATCAGATGGTCCAACTGCAGCGTGGACACCACATGTTCACTGAGCATCCTAAAGCCCAGGAAGGATGCCCCGCTTAGGTCACCAAGAGCATAAGTACACCCAATAATGTTTAAGGCAAATAAGTTCCCCATCCGTTGCTTTTCTTTTTCTAAAGTGAATGTACTTGGAGGGAGMAACCTGCCACTGATTAGACATCGACAGTGCCCCCAGACTAAGACTTTTCCAGAAGTCAATTCCATATTGGAAGCCTGGCTCACAACCAAGAGAAGATGTCCTGAGGCTGGGCAGGTGATGCTGCCCACAGCACATACTAAGTGCTGTCGCTTCCTTTTCCTGCAGTGACTTTCCTGTTTCTGAAACCACACTGAACACAGCTGCGGCATCTCCCAGTGCTTCATTACCAAGGCAATTTGGTTGCTGTAGATGTAACGGTAATGACAGCCTCATGGATCTGCAGAGGACAGGTGGCTGGGACGCTTCAATTTCCCTAATTGAATCATAAATATAGTGATTCCTGTGCAGCCTGTACGCCCAGAGGAAGGAGCCCACATCAGGACAGATTAGTGTCCACGCGGCTAGGAAGATAGGTCACATCCTCCTCAACACACACGTAAGCAAGAGAGAACACATGTGCCCCAAAGAGGCTGCTACAGGGCACACACTAGCTCCTGGATGCACTCTCAAGTCGGAGACCCTGAAGAATGACATTTCTCATTACTTCAAAATGACAGTGAATGCCCACCTGGTGAAAGGAAACCTTGAAAAACAAGGAGCCAAACAGAACACACCTCTTCTGTTCCACCCCCTCTAAGAGGGGGCAGATCCAACAATATTTGGATCTTTGGGGCATCTAAAATCCAAATGGGAGTTGGGGGTATGGCTCCGTGGTAGTGTGCTTGCTCAGCATGAGCAAGGCCCTGGTTTCCAGCCCCAGGACTGCAAAAAAGAAAAAGAAAGAGAAGGAGGAGGAGTAAACATCAAATGGGCTGCTTGTCCTCATTGAGAAATGAGATCATCATACAGATCAGAAAGTATTTGCCACTCAAGTCCTTCCAGGGCCAGAGTCACCAACCAGTGAAGTGCTTTTTCAAACTCTGAGACAGAAAGGCTTCTATGAGGGTTCTTTAGTGTGCGATGAGTTCAATGAGATCTACCAAGCATTTCATTTCCTGCCAGGGAGTAACATTGCAAGAACTGGGAAACATGTCTAATGCTTTTCCATTTAGCATTTTTATGTTATTGTGTTGTTTTTAATCCTAGATAAGAGTATCTTCCCCCGTGAGATGTTTGGGCTTTGAAAAGCCCAGGCACCTTAATTAATTTGTTAACCAACTTTAAGTATAGCTAGACTAGGAATTTAAAAACTAAAACTAATTAACTAATTTTCAAATTAAAAAAATAGGGCTGGGGGTGGAACCCAGCGGCAGAGCATTTGCCTAACATGCAACAGGCTCAGTGCTATTCCTAGAACCACACACACACACACAAAAAAAGAAAGAAAGAAAGAAAGAAAGAAAGAAAGAAAGAAAGAAAGAAAGAAAGAAAGAAAGAAAGAAAGAAAAGAAAAAGCAGATCAAATAAATAATGAGCTGAGATCCAGCTATAATGCCACGCAACTTCATCTTTCAATATTCATCCCTTTTTATCAACAAATAGTTACTGAAGCCTACTGTGTGCAGTTTCTATTCTCACATTGGCCTTTCATGGAAGCCCCTGGTGCTTAGATCAGTCCTGATTTTCTTTCTTCTGTCTAAACTATGGAACTTGCCATGGTGGACTGGAAAAGGGCTCTGCAGAAACACCTCAAGGTTTCACCAACGACCTGAAACCCAGCATGGACTCTACATGATGGAACAGAGTGGAAAGGTCAGGTTTCTTCTTGAAGTCAGCATTGACTCATTCATACAATAAAGCTGTAAGTAAGCTTTGCTTGCTGTGTGTGTGTGCATGTGTGTGTGCATTAGGGATAAAACAACCCGGGGCTTCACAGATGCTAGGCAAGCATCTACCACTGATCTCAAGCCCCCATAAGCTCCTTTTTGAGTCCAAAAAGGTAGGAAAGAGGTAGGAAAGCAAACACTCCACTCCCTTGGCATCTCGACATGGAGGTGCCCTCTCTATTAAATTAGAGCTGCTCTGTGCACCTGGTAGATATTGACAAGCCAGGTGTGTGATGTTGGTGCCAAACCCACAACATCCAAAAAAGACATGAGACCCTGGGTGAAACAGTTCCAGGCCCGACCGATCCCAGTTCTCATGGGTGGATGGAGGGTAAGGCCAGCAGATGAAAACAAAATGGATTTTAATGATTATAACTCTTATGAAAGACACTAAATTTTCAAGTGAATCTTAAAGATACTATCAATTTGCAACCAGGTTTGCTTTACACAGTGGACTTCGAAAGGGTTTGGCTCTGTTTCGTAGAATCAAAGACTTTGCTACCAAAGGAGGCCTCTTAAAGGGACAGCATGGAGTAGTGGTCAGAACACCTAGGGTCGAGACCTGGCTCCTCCACCCAGGAGCTGAGTCCTTGGACAAGAAACTCAGCCTTACGAACTAGAGATTGGGGAAATGGGACCTGTCTGGCAGAGCTGCTGCCAGGGTTACAGTGAGGTATATAAAGCTCCTGGCACAGCAAAGACTCAAAGCAAAATTACAATTCCAGAAGTGATCCTTAACTTGACAGGGGGAGATGCTGAAGCTGGGTCCCACCACATGTCATTTGGGACCTTCTCAAGAGCAAATCCTTCTCTGGGGGTACAGCTGAGAAGAGACTTTTTTGCCCTGTTACTAAAGAATGACACCCTAACCTTCCCAGGTTAAAACGGAATCACGCTGGTAGAGACCCGGGTTCTCTCTACAGTTTCTGACTGAAAACTCAGCAGAGCTACTCAGACACATGAAAACTCATCCTCACACTGGAAACCATGGCTGGAAGGATCTTCAACACAGAGCCAGTGAATCTGGATTAAGAGACACAGTGCATGCTCCCTTCTTTGAAGGCAGCAGTCTGGTCTGGAATACGTTTGGAAAAGGTTCTGACCACATGCTCTTGGTCCTTGGCTCTGGAACATGGGCTTCACTGACCAGAGAAGCAAAGAGCCAAGATCCATTGCCACCTGACAGAAATGACATCTCCCCTTCTCCCTGCACCCAGGCCTCTTTTTCCACATTCATGCAGATGCTCCCAATCGAAGGCGTAGCCGGGGCAGAAGGAGGGGAGGCATGCAGGGCCTTCCAAGCAAATCAAGCAGGAAGACTCTGGAAGCTTTCTGTGCTTTGGCAGGGTGTCTTCCCAGCCCTGAAGGGAACCAGACTGCATCTGATTCCCCAGTGGGAGGTGAGCTGACCTCAGGCTACAGATCACCTGACATGAATTCACTCCAGGTGATAGGGGTGGGGCTAGGAACTCCATGTATCACCCTGCTGGATGTGGGTGCCACATCCAGCAGGGGACACCCATTCATGGTGTCACATAAACTGCAGACATGCTGGCCGACATGGAGCCTCTTTCTTAGGTCAAAGATGAGGAACCAAAAAAGACTAATGCCAGCAGCCACAACACAGCAGACCCTCCCCCTGGGTTATGGGGACAGTCACGCTCAGTTAACATGATAATCTCAGCAACCTCAAGAGCAAGAAGGCTCCTCAACAGCCTGAAGCCAGGCACAGAGGCAGAGTCAGGGCAAGTGGGTTCTTTACTTATCCTACCCTCAAAACCCTTGGCCTCCTGCACAAGTCCTGGGTGGCCTATGGTGACACCACCTTCTGGTCACCAGAACCCGCTACTTACCGCATGAACAGGGTTGCACTGATCGATGGGGCTTTTAAAGTCCGTCCTTAACTCATCAAAGGCAATGATCTGGAACAGAACAGAGAACCAAGATGTTAGCACGCAGGGAAGTCAATGCACCACCCCAAAAGCTTCCTGGAGTTTTGCTTCCAAATAATACCGAAGGCAGGAAGTGGGCCCAGGCAACCAACTCAAGACTGGCCAGGAGTTGGTCACTGTTGAAGCTGGGAATGTGCATGTGAGGGTGATTATCTTCTTCCATCTACTGTATATGTTTAAAAAATTCCCAAATAATTTTTTTTTGGTTTCCTGTTCTTTGCAAAGATGTAGAGCAACTCTACCCTGGTGGGGTCACCTTAGGATTTTAATAAAGGCACAAAAATTCAAGACTTCAAACCAGTACTTTCAGCTCTTCCCAGGAAAGGATGTTTATTTTATTTTATTTTTTTTTTTTGTGTGTGTGTATTTAGCCAGAGATGCTAATTAGAAGTAAAAGGGAAAGAGGGGGCACAATGGAGCAGAGATGATAAGAAGAAAAAGGACCCTGTCTCCAGATAACCGTCCACAGAGGGACAGTCAGCTGTTGGGTAGTCCATGCTTCACAGCTTAGTCCTTCAGACTTTGACCCTGAAGTTCATTCTGAACAAAAACCTCAGAACTCCCCCAAGAGAGCAATGGTTTCTCCATGTGTCTGGAGGGGAAATGATGGAGGGAACCTTCTCCAGTCATAGAATAAGGCCTGACCCATCCAGGTACTAGGCTCTCAAACCCACAACCTCACCCCACCCTCATTGTCTACAGCACAAATGACAGAAAAAAAGTGGTACTTGGTCAGGGCAGTGTCCTCTCAGAGTGCAGAGGACTTAACTATGCTCAGCAAAGTCTCTCCACTGCTATCGTTTGGATCTGAAGTGTCCCCCGAAGGCCTACCCCATAAAGGCTTGGTCTCCAGCTTGTGGTGCTATTGGGAGGTGGTAGGACCTCCTGGGAGAAGTCAGATCCTTGAGGGAATATTAGACCCCAGACCCTTCTGGTCTGGGTTTTGTTTTTGTTTGTTTKTTGCTTTCTTTCTTCCTGGCCACCATGAAATAAACAAGCCTCCTCCACCCCCTGCTGCTACCATGATATACTGTGTTGCTACAGGCCCCAAAGCAATAGACCAACCAACCACGAACTGAAATTTCTGAAATCATAAGCTCAAATAAACCTTTCCTCCTTAGAAGTTGTTTATCTTAGATATTTTGTCACAATGACAGAAAGCTAACTAACAAGCCGGGTTCGGTGGCACATGACTGAAATCCCAGCAGCTCAGGAGTCTGAGACAGGAGGATTGCAGGTTTAAAGCCAGCCTTAGCAAGGCCCTCTCTCTAAATAAAATATTAAAAGAGATGGGGAGGTGGCTCAGTGGTGAAGCGCCACTGGGTTCAATCCCTGGTATGGGGGGAAAGAAAAAGCAAGCTGACTAACATACCTACTGAACATAAATGGGCAAAACCAACTAAGGCACATCCTGAGGGGGTTTCTGATCACATGGCGGTGCTCCTGAAGCCAGGAAGCTGGCTGGGCACTCCCGAGTGTCACCAACCCAGCCACATGAGGCTGAGAGTAGCAAGTAAGGGAAAKCGATTTCCCTCTTCAAAGCAAGTATAATTTTAAAGCAGTCATAGGTCATCCTGATTTCAATGTGTCCACAGAAAGAGGAAAATGCCAGTGCGAATTGTATTCAAGACCCATTTCTATATTATCCCTTGTCGGGTAGTTAATTGCCCATCCTAGACTTCGGCTCTTTGGTAACAAGAAACTCACCTCTTCCTGAGGATGCTCATTTCGTGTCTTGCTCCCTCAACTTAATCATTGCCTGGACATAGGACCCCCTAACACTTCCATCCACAGTCAGAGCCAGGGGTCAGCCAATTACAGCCTGCAGGCCAAACCCAGCTCACCACCTGCTTCTGTATGAATCTGAGCTAAGAATGGTTTCACATTTTTAAGAGTCAAAAAAAGAAATCAAAAGAAGATTTTGTGGTGTGAAAATTACATTAAATTCAATCCTCAGAGTCCGTAGAAAGTTTGATTGGAACTCAGCCACATTTATTCTTTAATCTCTATTGCTTTGGCACTGCAGTGACAGAGTTCAGACTCTATGGCCTGTCTTGCTTTTTATAGGAAAACACTTGCTGGCCCCTGGTCTATTCTTTCATTTGCCCTCTAAAGTTTTTGCCCAGTCTAATACAGTAGCCACAAGCCACATTTTTACTAATTAAAATTAAATTAAAAATTCAGTTTGTCATCATGTTTTAGGTATAATAGCTATTCAGTGTCACAGGTATAAGACATTTCTGTCCCTGCAGAAAACGCCATTGGACAGTGCTGTTTCAGAGGCACACAGAATGGGTCAAATGCTCTTTCACATAGAACCCCTTCAAGTATTGTCAGCTAACTGTGGTCCAAGCACAATTTTCTTTCCCAAGATAAATCTCTCTAACCATTATTTACACAAACTAGTGCTAAATTGCCTTCCACTGACATGACAGGTTTCACATGTCCCTACTAAAACGTGACTATCAGAACCATATCCAAGGTGAGGTTGGCTGGCACAGAAGAGTAACAGAATCACTCACCTCCTCTGCTTTGAATCCTAGGTCTGTGTTAATGGAGCCTCACCATATTAGCTGTGTGTGTGTGTGTGTGTGTGTGTGTGTGTGTGTGTGTGTATGTGTATGTTTATATCCCATCCCTGGCTTTATACTAAATTTTCATTACCTAAAAACCCTGAGTCTTTTTCATGTGCATCAGTTAAACATGGTTTCCCTTGTTTTGTAAGATTCAGATTCAGAAGCCTAAGAAAAGGAACTGATCTGTATCCAGACTCACCCCTCCCTACTCAGTTCGGTCCAGAAGACCAATCTTTTGAGACACAATCTGTCTCCCAACCACCATCCTAATAGCCATGATGTCCTCACTATCCACATCCTCATTCCCCCTGGTGTCAATGTAAACCAAGCAGGACCAAGGACAGGGCCCCAAGCGTGTCATCCCACTTCCTGCAAGACTGCCATCTGCACTCCTTGGGTTATTGCTCATCCAGTTATAAGACAGTCCACCATATTTTCATCCAGTCACTGAAAGCAAGTCTCTGAACAGCTGTCGAACCCTGTAACTGTTATTGTTCCATAGGTAAGCTCCCCCAGAGAGGCTGGGGGCCGCATGGTGGCTGTGACTGAAGACACACCCACAAGACTCCTATCCCAGTCCTGTGCCTGTGTCCGGGTCCCTGTGTGAGTGCATACAGGTGGGTCTGGACTAAATAGAGAAAGGTAGCTGGTGCTTAAAGCAGAGAGAGAGGAGCTACTGAGGATTCTGAGCTGTTCATACATGCTGGGAGCAAACAGCCACTCGGTTCCTTACCTGACCAGGAGGAGCAGAGAAAGAAAGGCCAGAAATGTCTCTCTCCCTATGGGCTCCAATCGGTTAAGGGCCCTTCCTGAGTGTTTTCTGGTTTGTTTTTGTTTGTTTTTTTGCTTTCTTTCTTCTTGGCCACATGGTGGTGGTGAGGACAATGGCAGGACACAGTCTCAGCATTGAATCCCAGCATCTATCCCTAACGCACCCCCTGTCACTTGATGAGCATCGTCTATACCCAATCCCTAGGCTGGTGAGTCACCGGAGACATGAAAATCCACAAGACACGGCTCCAATCCTCATCGAGTTCCTGATACAGAGGGGGAGAGGAGCGTGTCAACAGGTAGTCCTATGACAATGTGATTAGGGATAGAATCAAGATGACTATAATCACAGCTGCCATTTATCACACGCTCACCATGTCAGACGTGGGACTACACGCGATTTATATCATTTAATCCTTTGGCTGGGTACGACTATTGTCCCCATCTTAGAAATGAAGAAACGGAGGAGGCTGAACGTAGTTAAATGATTTGACCACGATCACAGCTCTGGTGCCAGGATTCAAAGCAAGGCCTCATTGAAACAAAAGCCCAAGCAGTTTCCTTTACCTTGTCCTGCCTCCCAGTGCATACAGCAAGGAGAAGAGAAGYCCTCTAAGCACACAGAGAATCAGCAGCAGACCCCAGGTTATGGTTTGGATGGGGTGAGGTGCCTCCCAAAAGCTCACGTGTGAGACGATGCAAGGAGGGTCAGAGGAGAAAGGATTGGGTTGTCAGAGTCTCAACCTAATCAATGAATTGATCCCTGATGGGATTAATTGGGTGGTGGCTGGAGGCAGGTGGGTGTGGCTGGAGGAAGCTGTTCATTAGGGGGATGGCTGAGGGTGGATATTCGGTATCTGGAGAGTGGAGTCTCTCTCTCTGCTCTCTGATCACCATGTGAGCTGCCTCCCTCCGCCACACTCTTCCTCCATGATGTTCTGCCTCACCTTGAGCCCCAAGAAATGGAGCCGGCCTTCTATGGAGTAAGACCTCTGAAACTGGGAGCCCTCAAATAAACTTTTCCTCCTCTACAGTTGTTCTGGTGGGTCTTTTAGTCACGCCGGTGAGAAAGCTGATGAAAACACCCCATAATACGAGAGCAAGCTGAAGAAGTAAGACGGAAGGTACCCTCTGCTTGGTCCTGGTTCATAGTAGATTCTCTATCCCAACCTCCTGACCTGCATCTGAGAACAGCAGCCACAGGCAGCAGGAGCCAGTATCGTCCTTTGGGTGCTGCACACTTCTACCTGGAGCCAAGCCGCCCGCATCAGGGACAGACTGTGAGCAAGATCCAAGTGTGGGCAAGGACTGGTCTGCATGGTTTAATCCAGCTGCACACACAGTTTCTCTGTGTGTCCTCTGAGACTCCACTGCACAGTGCAGCCCAGTGATTTTTCGCTGACAGTCGTAGGTGAATTCTAACTGCTGATGATCAGACCATTTCAAATATCACTTTTGTTTTTTAATTTATTTTAAATTTTATTACAGTAAAATTTACTCTTTTTGGTGGAAATTCCCACAAATCTTAATAAATACATAAAACAAATCATATGAACATCTGCATAATCAAGATATAGAGTGGTTCTATCACCCCACCCCACCCAAAAAAATGCCCTCCTGTTG